AGGCGCCCGCTACCTCACCCGGCTAGTTTTTTGTGTTTTTTAGTAGAGACAGGGTTTCACCGTGTAGGCCAGGATGGTCTCGATCTCCTGACCTCGTGATCTGCCTGTCTCAGCCTCCCAAAGTGCTGGGATTACAGGCTTGAGACACCGCACCCGGCCAACTGCCATCCTTTCATGAGAGATGTCTGAGAAGCTGGAAGAGTTGTTATGTGGCTTTCTTATGTCAAGCCACCTTCCTCAGAGTATCAGGAATGGGGCAGGAGGTGGTTAACTTTAGTTAGCATCTGGACTGGCTGGAAATGTCACTGAAACACATCAGCCATTGTCTTTCCCTTGTCCCAACTCTTCAGGTCTGATTGTTTCAAGGAGAAAGTCTCAGGTTGGTGCCCATCTTGAACACCTCTGTAACACTTAACAAATCTTCTTCAGGCCCCAGGTTCAAAACCTCAGGTAGCAACAGCTGTGGGTGGAATTGTGTTCCCCACCTCCCACTCCTCCACCAAAAAATATGTTGAAGTCTTAACCCCTGGTAACTGTGAATATGATTTTATCTGGAAATAGGGTACTTGCCATTGTAACTAGTTTAAAATGAGATCATTAGGGTGGGTCCTAATCGAGTACGACTGGTGTCCTTACAAGAAGAGGGGAAAAGACACAAAGATAGAGACACAGAGGGAAGACACGTATGTGAAGACAAAGGCAAGGATGGGAGCGATGCTGCCACAAGCCCAGGAATGCCTGGGGCTACCAGAGGTTGGAAGAGGCAAGGGAAAATCCTCCCTCAGAGATTTTGGAGGGAGCATGGCCCTGCCAACATCTTGATACTGGACTTCTAGCCTCCAGACCGAGACAGAATAAGTTTTTGTTGTTTTAAGCTACCCAGTTTGTGATCACTTATTTTACCAGCCCTAGGAAGCGACCATCTACCATGTTTGGTAGATGTTTTTGTTAGGGCAGCAGCACCAAACAGTGCCGAAGAACCTGGGTTCGGCAGCCTGAAACGCCTCCTCTATTTACTAATTATACAACCATAGGCAAACTTGCTAACCTCTCTCTGTTTCGGTTTCCTTATCCGGGAAGTGGGATGGTGATAGTACTGACCTCGTAGGGCATGAAGATTGTAAATCAAGACATTTAGCACACGGCCTGGCAGGTAGGATGGACTCAGTAAATATGTGTGATCACTGTTTTATGGCTACTTTGTATTTGTGGCAAATTATACTAATTTTCCTTTTTTTTTTTTCCTTTGAGACTGAATCTTGCTCTGTCACCCAGGCTGTAGTGCAGTGGCATGATCTTGGCTCACTGCAACCTCCACCTCCTGGGTTCAAGTGATTCTTGTGCCTCAGAGTAGCTGGGATTATAGGCATGTGCCCCCACGCCTGGCTAAGTTTTGTGTTTTTAGTACAGACGGGGTTTTGCCATGTTGCCTAGGCTGGTCTTGAACTTCTGGACTCAAGCCATCCACCTGCCTTGGCCTCCAAAAGTGCTGGGATTACAGGTGTAAGCCACTGCACCCAGCCAAATTATACTAATTTACCATTGGAACATATAGTTTTCCTTTAAATTAAATTCTAGATGAAAGTTGATACTAGAGATGAAGTTGCCCCCACCTCAAAAAAGAAAATTGAATCAATTAAAATAAGAATTTTAAGTAAATAATAACACAGGTGGTAGATGGATATGGTAAACATTGTGAAGGTGGTAAGATACTAATATTAGTAAGCACTTATATGTGCCAGGCACTGTTCAAATCACTCTACGTGTTTTAAGAAATTTATCCTTAACATCCCTCAGAAAGGTGCTATTATATCTCCATTTTCTGGAAAAGGGATCTGAGCCCCAGAGAGGTTAAGTAACTTACTCAAGGCTAAACGGCTGGCAACACAGGAAATCAGGCACTTGAGACTGTGCACCTAACCTTTGCACTCATCAGGCAGAGAAGACTTCCAGCCAAGAGGGCTCTCATGGTTGTACAAACCAGAGTTTGCTCCACAGAAGTGAATTCAGCCTACTCAGCTTTAAAAGGAAGTGTTACTTGCCTGTTTCTCCACCTACCTCCACTGGAACTAAGCAATTCCCATTTGACAAAGTGATTTCCTCTCCTAACCCCCCCTTTTGGATGTCCAGAGCAGCTGCCAGGAGCTAAACCCCTTTGGGAGAAATCAAATGCTCACTGTTGACATTTAATTTATGACAAAGTGTTGCCCTCTCCAAACCAGCTACTGAAAAAAGAAAAAAAAAAAAAAAAAAATCCAGGCCTGAGGAACAACCTATTAAATGAAAATAAACGTTTTATTGTTTCATGCTAAAAGATGTATTAGGCTTCACACACTTACAGCTGGGAACAATGCACGTTTTTGGCAAAGGAGGCTCGAGCAATCTCTACACGTTCACACGGTTGACCCCTCCCTGCATGAAGAGCAGATGGTGTTTCATGCACAGATTTCTGGCACAGTTCTCCTCTCGTCTGATGTAAAAGGTGTGAGTGGACCTCTAGCCCCCTTTCCCCTTTTGCTTCTTCTGATCAGTCTCGGCGGTAAAGAGAAAATTTAGCACTTCATTAGGGCCACTAACCCAAGTCAATCTCTGGACTCTGAAGCACTGAGTCGACCACAGAATCACAGAACATAAAACAGAATTAACATGTGGATAGTTTTTTGAAAACCGATGGTAGAAAGTGGTCCTGAAGGGAGGTAGCTTAGGGTCATGACTTCTGATGTCTTCTAGAAGAACATGTTAAGTCCAGGAAAAAAGGACTTGAAAAAAAAATCTGTGCTCCCAGGAGAAACATTATCCAATACTAGATATTGAAGTGAGACAATAACTCTGACATTAAACATTCCATTAGCACAGTTTTACAAAAAATTCAGAGTGCTACAAATTTGAGAGTTACCCAACAGTGAAGACACATTCTGTATGTTTTTCTTCTTACTAGAAAATTCCAGACCGGGCGTGGTGGCTCACACCTGTAATCCCAGTATTTTGGGAGGTCGAGTGGGCAGATCACAAGGTCTGGAGATCGAGACCATTCTGGCTAACACGGTGAAACCCCATCTCTACTAAAAACACAAAAAATTAGCAGGGCGAGGTGGCATGCGCCTGTAATCCCAGCTACTCGGGAGGCTGAAGCAGGATAATCGCTTGAATATGGGAGTCAGAGCTTGCAGTGAGCTGAGATGGCACCACTGCACTCCAGCCTGGGCGACAGAGTGAGACTCCGTCTCAAAAAAATGAAAATTCCTTTTGGTTTTCCAGGATACAAAGTGTGGAACAAATCCCTGATGACTCCATATGGGTAAACAACACCAACACATGCAACAGACATATTACAGTAATCCATACAGATTATTACAAATTACAAAGCCAGAAAACAAGCCCCTACACCTCTTGGCTTTACAGTGGAATATACTAAGGAAATAAGTTGCCAGCCCTGGAACGCGCTATTTTTTGGGATGAAGATATGAAAATTTTGGAAGTCCTTAAGTGTCCACTGCCCTAAGCAATCATTTTTTTATGTATGCTATATATGTAAGGTTTATTTATACAATATTCCATAATGACTAACACATTATACCCCTTTTATAAACATTATTCACATACATATTAACTCATAGAGATTCTCTTTGGTCTGTTAAAAACACTGTACTTAAAAAAATAAGCAGAGACACAAGAGTCTATAGTTTTTCTGCATATGTTTCCATGGAGGTGTGAATTTTTCTCTTTATTTTCTCCTTCCTCTTTTTACCCTTAACACCCTTTCCCCTTGACCCGAAGTGTAGTAATAAGAAACAATAATTCCGGGAGATGAAACTCAGATGTCACCATTAGCAAACTATTCTACTGCACATTTCCGGGTTGGCTCTTTGTGATCATTCAAGCCCATCCTTGCCTCCTCCCTGACATCCCCAACACTTTGTGGTCCTTGATCATTTGGAATCTGTATGCTGTGTTTTAAAAAAATATCTGGTTTACTGGCTAAGCAGGTTCAAAGGAAGAGCTAAATCCTTATGAAACCCTCCACTATACCTCGTGGAAAGTTCCCAGAGACTTAAAAAACAGGACGTGTTTTTTAAAAAAATTAGGAGTGGTGGTTTAGGAGTGGTGGTTTCCTATTGTTCAGTTGTAAGGCGGAAGCCAGTGCATGAAGATGGAAATGTGACTAAAAGGGCTTTGAAGACAAGGTGTAAATAGCCAGTGTGCTCAATCACACCTCTTCCCTTCTCACCTGCCACTTAGCAGATAAAGCCAGAACTCTGGGGCTTCTGGTGGTGTATTATCACTTCCTCCTGTGGTTAACCAAGAGAAGGGTGTGGCTAAGAAGTCCAAATTATTCATCGCATTAAAAGATAGCTGCCAGTTTAACCCCTGCATGTGACAGTTTCACATAGAAGAAAATATTTCTGTAACCTACAGATGCAATCCTTACTCTGATCCTGGTTTGGCTGATGCTGGTTCCTGTTTACAAGCAGGGCTGAATGAAAAACTGAGGATGCTTCAATGTAAAATTAGGATCTGAACTTTAAAACAACCAACATATCCCAGTGATGCTGCACTTGTGTTATTGTCTTTGATAATCAGAGCAGCATGTGCTTTTAAAAATCAAATTCTTATTGATGTCTTAAGAGAGGAGGAGAAGATGAAAATACATGGTTCAAATAACATCAGGGTATTTATGAATTTCATTTATGTGAGCAATGTCTCTTGCAGGTTAGCACAGGTAATTTTAAAATTGTATTTTAGATTATAGCCTTTTTTTATTTAAAAAAAAAACAAGGAGTAGAATGTCTTCTAATGGCTTGTTCTTTATGATGACTTATTTATGAACATAAAGGATGCATGGTTATAAGTGATATTTTTATCTTTCTACTTGAAATAGCCTCTTTGTAAGCATTACAGTTTGGTATCTTTCATATAACATCATGAATTTTTTTCTTGTCTGAGACTCTTTATGTACCAAGTCTTTATTTCCTTGATCACTATGTTCTATTAGAAATCCCTGGGGTCAGAAAGTATCAGGGGGAAAAGACAGAATGGAAAAGAATGAAGATGTGGCAGAGGGCTGCAGGTTGCTTGGTGGGGATTCGGGCTGGGGTGATGGCTAGGGGACATTGTGCTGAAGCATTGGCCTCTTCGGATTGAACACCAAAGAGAATATGATGTCATCTGCTGCATCACTCTAAATCTGATCTGGAGAGACAGGCCAGACCACAGAGCTGGAAGGCATTGGATGTCCTGTCTTGTCATTTGTTAGGTGCCAAGCTGTGAGAAATTAGCAAGATAAAGTTTGGCTTTGACAACAGCAGTGAGTAACAGAGGGATGGGAGTCTGGTGTAACCTGTAGCAGCACATGACTCACTTGCTTTTCTCCATTCTGGCCCACTACCCATTAATACTGTGGGTGAAGACAGATTTGCTCTTCCTCCTATTACTCTGCTGTCTTGGAGGCCAGACTATTGGTATCCCTGTACCATCCCTGATGTTCAAGGAATATCATGCAGTCCACAAACTCTCTATTGAGCAGTTTCCATCCCGGCAGATCGTTTGCTGTCTTCTGCTTCCCAGTTGTCAGGAACTCGTCCTGGGAAGATGACCAAAGCAGACTCTGTAAAGTAAAAAGGATTTCAGAATCTGTTGTGTGCGAATGCAGTTGGGAAGAACTATAATTCTTCAGAATTCTTACACCTTTTGGGCAGAAAGTCATCTTCTCACAGAAGAGATGCTGTGTTCTTCTGAGTGCATCATATCAGGGGGCACACAGTATCTGTTTCCCCATTGCTAGTGATGCTAACTTTGGTGTTTTGGTTAAGGTGATTGTCTACTGTAAAGTTGTGATTTTTTTTTTCTTCTGTGACTAATAAGTATCTTGCGAGCAGATATTCTGAGACTTTTCAAGTTTTCGTCCACTAGTTTTAATATTCATTCATGGTTATTGCATGAACCAATTATTACTGAGTGGTTGCCAAATGGTTTTTTTTTTTTTTTAATTCCATAATTCCTTTTACACTTAGAGGTTGGCACTTGACCATAAGGGAGAGCTTTTCCTTCTCCCATATTTATTTATTTATTTATTTATATCAGTATAGGCTCAGGGATTCCTATTTCATTCTATGGGTTATCATCCGTTACTGCCAAGCCCCCTTCTCTTGCTCTAAACCCTGAATCTGATGATGAACAAGTAACAGACACACACATATTGAGAGACATTCCATAAAACAAATGGCTTATACTACTCAAAATTCCAAGACCATGTAAGAAAAAGAATCTTGAGGAACTGTTCCACATTAAAGGAAACTAAAGAGGTATGACAACTACATGCAAGATGTGGTCTTGAAAGGGATCCTAGAAAAGACTTGTGAAATAATTTTTCTATAAGGGAAAATAGGACAATTGAAAAAGTAGTAGGGCAATTGAATAAGACCTGTAGACTAGTTAATAGTACTATATCAACATTGATTTCCTGATTTTCCTGGTTTTATTAGGGTTATGTAAGAGCATATCCTTATTTTAAAAAAATATACACTGAAATGTTTAGGGATAAGTGGGCATTTAGTCTCTCACTTACTCTCAAATGGTCCAGAAAAAATAAAAATGAACCTGGTAAAATGTTAACTTTTGGGGAACCTAGTGGGAGAGTTTACAGGAATTCTTTGCACTATTTTAGCAAACATTTATAACAGTCTGAATTTATTTCAAAAATAAAAAGTTAAAATTCGTGAGCCCCCAGAATTTCTCTGAGGTCTCAAATATTGTATTTTGATGACCAAACTCAACCTGCATTCCTATGATCCTCACACATGGAATCAATATCCTCCCCTCCCTGGCCAGTCTCTCACCTCCTTTCTCTTCCTAGGCTGAGGATGCTCCAGAGGAACGTGCAGCCAAACCTGTCTGGCAGTGCCTTGTGAGGTGAGGGCAGGTGGTTTGATTGCACATAACAGGAGGTCGCTCTTTATGACTTTGTTGCATGGCTCTTGACCCTTCTGAGTACAAATAAAGTCCAAACTAACCATGCTGGAGGAGGAAAGGAGAAAGCTAAAAGGATGATGGGAAATTGGTTCGATAATTTTCTATCTCCTGTCCAATTTTCTTTCATCTAGATCCTGATTTCTTTTCTGTCCAGGGACTTGTGCTGATGTAACAGGCTAGTTTTCTCTTTGGGGAAACTTTAATAATGATCACAGCCTGATTCTTTGTGGGGGTGGTGTGGAACAGTCAGATCTTACAAGCCATTTGTGGAAGTCTTATCACATCAATCTGGGGAGTCTTACCTAAACTCCCAACTTATGAAGGCAGAACTAAGATCTGTAGCTCCAGAGACCCAATGTACCAGAGAAGCCCCAGCTTTCAAGCAGGCAACCACATTTGGGCTCAAAACTGAGTTGCTCTGAGCTCCCAGTACCTGCAAATGCAATGCAGCACTTCCTCATTAGCTAATGTGCTCCACTCAGCACAACAGCAAGTAAGAGCTGTCAGAGGCTCCAGGTGGCTGCTTTGCATTCAGCGGGAGAAACAGGCATTCTGTGATTACGAGGATGCATTCTGTGTCTCACCATGTCAATAAATTACACAGGATTTGGAGTTATGTTGTCTTCACTACACACCACTGAACATGGGCGGGGGTTTCATTTGGTTATTCACCAATTTTAGCCCTCAAAAGGAAGGCAGTCTGCCTTAGACATACCCTGCCTCTCCTCCCTGTGCCTAGGTTGGTGCCAGTGCTGATACTGGGAGTCCGCCTATGGAGAAGGTTCACCCTGTTAATATCACAATGGGCTCAAAGATGGCCGCTTTGATCTGTACTATCAGTCTTGGTGTCGGCAGCTGTGAGAATGTCCCTTCCAGATTACAGCTTCTGCATTCCAAGCGAGTAGCAGTGGTTTGTTTGCTCTTTTTAACTACCTTTATTGTGATGTAACATTTCTGAGAACAAGTGCAGGGGCAGGGAAGTAATAAGGAAGTTACTGCCAAGGGAAAGCTGGATGCCACATTAATCTGACCTTCCAGGTTGTGCTAAATGATGTAGAAAGAACTTCAACTCCAAGATCAAGTGACATTTTAATAGGCACCCAAAAAATCCCATCAATGGGAGGAGGTGTGACTTTTCCTAGGCTGGCATTGTGCGGTATGAAGTAGCAGCCCTTATTAGCACTGTGTCTACAGGCCAGGGGGTTTGGGATTAGGCAGGTAATAATTCTTTGTTTACTGAGTACTCAGAAGACAAGTCTATTTGAAGTAAAAAACAAAAACAAAAACATCACCAAACCCCCCTGATGTCTGGAGATAACTTTTTCATCCAATCTTTTTTAGATGGAATTTCACCCTTGTGCCCCAGGCTGGAGTACAGTGGCACGATCTTGGTTCACTGCAACCTCTGCCTCCTGGGTAGCTGGGATTACAGGTGCCCGCCACCACGCCCAGCTAATTTTTGTATTTTTAGTAGAGATGGGGTTTCGCCATGTTGACCAGGCTGGTCTTGAACTCCTGACTTCAGGTGATCCACCTGCCTTGGCCTCCCAAAGTGCTAGTATTATAGGCATGAACCACTGTGTCTGGCCTTTCGCTCCACCTTAACTGAGGTGGAAAGCAGTTAGCAGCCACAGACTGGAGCCAGACTGCCTGGGTTTATTTCCAAACCCCACAATTCCTAGCCTTGTGACCCTATGGAAGTTTCTTAATCTCTCTAGGCCTTAGTTTCTACCAGTAACTTGGGAGTAGTAATAGTATTTATTTTGTCTGTTTGTGGGAGTTTTAAATAAGTCGATGTTTGATATCAGTAAAGCACATGGAACAGGGTCTGACACATAGCAGGGACTCTATAATTGTTGGCTCAAAATTATTATTATGGACTAAAATACCTCCTGAAGGCTATTTCTTGTGGTCCTGCTTCATAATTATCTCAAAGAACAGAAAATCCTACAGGTAGAAACAGGTCATTAAACAGTGGCTGTCACACTTGTTACTAGAATTTCTTCTGTCCTAAAAACCTGTCCCAGTTTCCTAAGTTGAGTTCTGTAAATTTTACATTCCATATCTATCAAAGGATAATAATGGACAGTAACAAAGATAATAATACCTTAGTGTTTATTTTGTATGGTGTTGTGAGATGTCTTCTATTATTATTCCCTTTATATAGATGAGAAAACTGAGACTCAGATAGGTGAAGTGACTTGCCTAAAGTCACACAGCAAGTCACACTTTAGGTACGACTCAGGTGTTCCAAATCTACATCCTGGGCTCTGAAATCCTGTGCCAGAGAAAGGTTGGGGGAGTGAGGGGCAGAGAGAAACAGAGAGAGAGAGAGAGAGAGAGAGAGAGAGAGAGCGCAGAGGGCTAAAGGGAGGAAGAGAAGAGACTCACAACTAGTAATAAGTATTTTCTGAATGAGTAAATGGGTGCAGAAATTCAATAACTACACCCTAATGATAACAAAGGAAATGATATTTTATGTCTCATGTATACAATTTCAAACAACCATTTTGGCTGTTTTTTTTTTTTTTTTTTTTTTTTAAAGATGTCTGTTTGCTTTTTGTTTGCTGTATAGTTACTGCTTTAAAGAGCTACGAGGGCCAATTCCTCTAAAAGGTGAGTTCTTAAGATCTCACAGTCCTGAATGCTAGTGCCTAAGCCAAGTCCCTTGTTTTAGAGATTGGGAATGGGGTGGAGCAAAGGGCGGTCATTTGCCTCTCCGTTTGTAATAACTCCAGTAGCATCTTCCCTATGTTCACCCTTCCTATGACAGGCCTTCTTGTCAGGATAAAAGGGAATTCATTTATTCTCCAATTGTTCATTGTATGATCAAAAATGTTTGATAAATGAAAGACTGCTAGTGGCGGTGAAACCCCGTCTCTACTAAAAACATAAAAAATTAGCCAGGTGTGGTGGCGGGTGCCTGTAGCCCCAGCTACTCGGGAGGATGAGGCAGGAGAATGGTGTGAACCTGGGAGGCGGAGCTTGCAGTGAGCCGAGAGCACGTCACTGCACTCCAGCCTGGGTGACAGAGCGAGACTCCGTCTCAAAAAAAAAAAAAAAAGAATATTAATGGAACCTACCCCATGGAGAGTTTCCTGGACAGGTTGAGCTTGTTCCTGCTCTTCCCACTATGCTGCATGTCTGGTTCCTTCTTAGTCTTCAGGTCTCAACTCGAATGTCATCCCTTTGGAGAACCTTCCCTGGCCACCCTACGTAATATAGCTTATGCCCGTCAGCCATTCTTTGTCCTGTCACTTTGTTTCTTTCGTAACATCTGACATGTAGAAGTTCTCCTGCTTGTTTACCATTTACTCCCTTCCTGCAGGTAGGAACCTTATCCGTGTTGTTCACTGCTGTATCCCAACTGTACGGAACAACAGCTGGCACACGGCCGATAGTAGATGCTCAGCTGATATTGTTGAATGAAAAATGAATAAATGAATGAAGTGACATTGGTTTTTGCCCAGGAAGAAAACATTCTGCGACTTTAAATGGAGATGGAGTGAGAGCAGCACTTGCCTGGAGCCCATAGGTCATAATGGACGCCTAGCGGGGGTTTAATCAGTACATGCATTTTCTGAACTACAAAGTGTGCCAGGGACATTTAATTTCTGTTAATTGGCACCAAGGAGG